TAATAATAATAACTTTATTTAATTAAGCGCAACAATTCCAACATATGAAGATCAAAGGCGCTGATACAATAAACAATCAGTCAAATATTAAAAGCACATTTAAATAAGTGCGTTTTCAGTCTGGATTTAAAAATGTCTACTGAAGGACTAGAACGAACAGACAGAGGTAATTCATTAAAAAGTTTAGGACCTAAATTTTCAAAAGCACGGTCTTTGTATAACACCTTGGACTTTTTACTACACACCTGACGAGTTTTAATAAGAAACTTTGATTCAGATCTTAAACTACGACTAGGTACATAAAATTCGATTAATTCACATAGATAATTTGGGGCAAAACCATACAAAGATTTATACACTAGTAAAAGTAATTTGAAATTGATTCTTTGTACAACTGGTAACCAATGAAGTTTAATAAAAATGTCTGTAATGTGGTCATATTTTCGAGCACGAGTGACAAGGCGGGCTGCTGCATTTTGTACACGAATAAGAGGTTTTATCTTAGTTACAGGGAGACCAGACAATAATGAATTACAGCTGTCTAAGCGAGAAGATATGAATGCATGTACCAACTTTTCAGTATCAGATTGGGATAATGATTTACGAATACGATTAATATTTCTTAGATGGGAATATCCAGATCTACAAATAGTAGAAATGTGTGTTTCCATAGATAGCTGCGAATCAAACAAGACACCTAAGTTTCTAGCACTTGACGAAGCACTAACCAATTCTTCACCAATCACTACATACAATCAGCACATTTTAGCTCCACCATTCATCACGCTACATCAGTTGTTTACCAATAATGATCGTGTCCAGAAAAAGACAAACAAGTTTGTTAACTTGTTTTACCAAATATGCATACATGCATTATTTAATTTTATATTACCGGTATTCAGAAATTAACAGCAGGCTCTCAACACTGCTAGATGCTACCAGCGGAATATGCAATTTCTTTGATTTGTTTTGAAAATCAGCTAACCTAAAACCAACTATAATTTATCTTATTCAAATGTTTTTAGATTGTATTTTCTTTCTTCTTTGTCTTGTTAATCCCAATAGGGATAAACTGTCAATGAAGTTATTCTATTCATTGTATACTGCAAAGATCATAAAAACTTTATTATCTGCTGTCTTTTTCAGATTTTTACTGGCAATGATGAGATGAGTGGAATAAACAATGATTGTGATATGCCCAGTATGTCCAACCAATCAGGGGACAGAATGCAAATCTCAAACCGGGGTTTCACCATCTTTGGCGAGGAGGAAGAACGAACAAAAAATGACAACGCCAAGGCAACTGATTGCTGTGTCTGGTATGTTGATGGCAACAGTTTACAGATAAAACAAGAAAGCACTGTTGAAAGTCATGTACAAGAAGTCAATGCCACTGTACACGAATCTGAAGTAGTGGCAAACGATGCTGAGGATGACGAACCCAAAAAAATTTATTCTTGTTTACAGTGTGGGAAAGAATACTCTTCTCGGAACAATCTTAAACGACACAAGCTTACTCATTTAGGGATGAAGCCGTATAGGTGTAATATTTGTAAAAGGACCTTTCAGCGAAGAGATTATGCTATTTGGCACCAGCAGAAATATCATAATTTCTTTGGCAGAGATATTAGCATTGTCAGTGTTCTTCAGGTGCCAAAGTTTCCCCTCAATAGATCTGAAGCTTCGCAGTCGGTGAAAGCATCATCCACTGGTGAATCACCTGCAGCACCAAGTATGTCATCTCGCAAGGGACGAGGTGTGGGTGGGTCAAAACAAGCGTCAAATGCACCAAAGGCGTTTCAGTGTCCGCAGTGTGGAAAGCAGTTTGTGTCAAGCAGAACACTAAAGCGACATAAACTGACCCACACTGGGTTAAAACCGTTCAAGTGTAACATCTGTGGGCGGAGCTTTCTTAGAAAAGACTACGCAATATGGCATCAACAAAAATTTCATGAGCATTTCGGACGAGATATTACTGTTTTGCCAACTGACTTAAACTCTGTTTCTACTTCTGGCACAATCACTAACAAGAGGCGTGCTGATTTTGGGTTCAAAAGATACAAGGTCAAAAAGGAACCAGTGGATAATGCAGAGTCAGCAACTGAAGAAAAAGAAACAAATTTTAATTTGAATATACAAGAACCATGTCAAAATGAAGGTCAACCCGAAATGCCAATATATAACGACCAACATTACTACGTAGCTCAGGAGTTTGATATTCACCAAGGGTCCAGCAATGAAGCTCCATCAAGTGTACCAGTATACGCCACAGCCATGGAGCCACAGCACAATCCAGCAGTAGAAGATCAACCACTGGAAATTAATCATCCACCAATCAAACCAATCAAGTTTAGCATCTTGCCTCGGCGCAGTCGACGAAAGAACTGTGACGTTAAACGTCCACGAAAAATACAAGTGGAAATTGAGAATGAATCACCAGTGGTAGAACAATTTGAAGAGTCCACTCCGTCGCAGTTAGAAAGTGTTGCTTATTTTGATCAAACGGCGATGAGCAATGTGGTACTAAACTTGAGTAAGCATAATAACATGGTCAGTGGGGATGAACAGAATAGCTGTGACTACCCAGGAAGTTACGTTTTACCAAGCAGTAGCACTCCTGTCATGGCATATGAAAAAAGCAATGCAAAAAGTGATGTAAAAACTCCAATGGTGGATGAAAGTGAACTTGATGAAAGTAATCTTGTTATTGACATGCCAAGTGTGCGATATGTCTCTGTCAATGCCAAGTTCTCTTGTGATCAGTGCCAGAAAACATTCAAATCTAGTCGAACCTTGAAACGCCATAAACTGAACCAACATGGACTTGTACGTTTTCGTTGCAACATTTGTCATCATATCTTTCGTCGCAAAGATTACGTAGTGTGGCATCAACGAGAGTGTCATAAACACTTTGACCGCGATATCTCCGAGATTACAGTTGATTCCAGTGATAAGAAACATCCATCGCCTTCAGGTGACGAGAATGAGAAGGTCAACTCAAATTTAAACAATCATACTCAAGCAGAAGATTCAGGAATCTCTCTCAACTTGGTGAAGAAGCAAAGACGCGGAAAGGGGAAGGAAGGAGAGAAAGACTTTTTCCAGGAAAAATTTGGTGAAAAACTGGGGTTGAAACGAAAAAGTCATAGCCCCTCAAAATCAGAATCTGTGTGTGATGATGTTGAGAGTGAAGGTAAAAGGCCACCAATAAGACTGAAATTGAATCTGAAAGCTGCTGGGTTATGCCAATCAGCTGAGGATGTTGATTACATAGAGTCTGAGGACTCTCTGCCGAGGAACGGAGACACTGAGGGAAAACATGGCTGCAGTATGTGCAACAAGGAATTTACTTTGAAGAAAAACTTGAAACGACATGAATTAATACACTTGGGTATTAAGCCATTTAATTGCGAAATTTGCTGGAAGACATTCACTCGAAATGAGGATAAATTGAACCATAAACGAAAAGTTCATGAATGTTATGACGTTGAAACAGAGGGATTGACAAACTTGCACGAGGAATACAGCGAAAACTGTGCGACAAACTTGGAGAGTAGTGGCCTTCAGAGTAATTCTGAATGTGATCTGAAAGATAATATGCAGTACTTTGCAAAATTGGTGGGTGAACCTTTAAATGCTAAAGATTTGAGCGTCAACCATGACAAAGCCAGCGACGATTCGGAGCCTGATATGTGCGTGCAGGTGGTAGCTGATGAAGGGTTTGCAGGTTCTGATCCTGAGACGTTGAATCACCTTCAGGAATGTGCGAATCAAAATGAGCTCAGCGAAAGTTGTAAATCAGAGACTAATGCAATGAATAGCAATGTCGAGGCTGTGGAGAACATTATTGGTGCGACAGATAAGACTAATGTGGAATTACAACATTATGATGATGTAAGCAAGAGGACTTGTACGATCACTGAGAACGTGATCAGCTGAAGTATGTCTTCATAGTCATTTTACAATATTTAAATGTCTGTATTGTGAACTTTGACATCTTCAGATGGAGTGCACTCTGACATGTGCTGTATTTGTTGTCTCTGTATCAGTTATTGGAGTGTTTGCAAAACCTGAAGGCTGGAATGGTCCATGTTGTCTGGGATTACTCTCTGCCATCACACTTGCATTGTCTACAAATCAATTGATTCACTCATTAATAAGCAATTAGAAATGAGATGTGCTTGTCTTGCGCACATACATGCAGTTTTTGAACTCAATACGGTTATTGCACAACCTGTCATTTTTCTTACTGTCACATTTACTGCAATCACGCCAGCATTGCATTTTGGTCATGTATTTAATTGTGTTTGTGCAATATTGCCATCTTGTTTTGCTCTGTGCATTTTAGCTACTGGACTGGTGATGTCGTTGCCTAAATTCTTCATGTAGTATCACCCATGGCTGTAAGAAGGGGAACAAGAAATCGAAAATTTTGAGATATGATTGCACTGAATGTAGGGTTTTTGACAACCATAATGCAACTAGTGCTAAGACAGGGATACCTTCAAAATTGCTTTGTGAGATCATTCCTTCATGTAGCTGTAACAAGATCTTAGGTCTAATGTGTAAAGTATTAGATGATTTGAATTCGTAAAAAAATGTGTAATAAACATTCAAATTGCAGTGATTTGAAAGTTGGCAATCTCTTTGGCTTCTCATTCGATTATGTCATTTGGCAAAGATTATAGATAATGTTCTGTCCTGCCCTGCGTGGATTCACAATGATTCATGGCAAATCAATTATTTCCTGTAATTTGTGCGTATTCAAACCAAATATTTCACATAATAGATCTAAATAATCTTTGAAACTCATCTTGGGAAACATTGGATTATTCTTTTTAGATATTCCAAGCTTGTAAAATCTTTTGAAATCATTAGGTTTTACCCAACTGTAATATACCACAATTGAACATGCTTGAGTCTGTGGGTAGAGCACTCTTTAGAAACAATGCATCATAGTGTACCCATCATACAACCCCATTCATGATGGCTTAGCTGCACACTAACGAGTTACTGTGGAATACTTTATTTTCGCTGGAATTAATTTTCGCTGAAAAGGTTTTTTGGGTGTTTTGCTTGGAATTTATTTTTACTGATTTTTGATGAGTTTAATGTGAAATATAGGAAAAAAAGTATATTCGCTGGATTTTATTTTCACGGAATCATCCCTTCTGCGAAAATAAATTCCAAGCGAAAATAAAGTATTCTACAGTATTTCTATTGTACCACACCCACCTAGAGATGACATTTTCTCATCTTATTACATACCTTTAACTTTCAAGTCAATTCAAAACATAGTTTAGAATGTAAACATGCAGGGTACCTTGCGTTCTAGGCAAGCTTGTACAAAGCTTTGCTCAGTGTAAATGCTGTAAGATGCATCTAATTACTCTTGGAGAGTGTTTGTATTAATCAAGAGGCATTTAATACGAGTGAGGGTCGTTGCGTCTGCATACAAATGGAACATTGTCTCGCTAACATCAGCTTTGGAACACACCATAGTGTATATTACTTTAAACCATAATAATTTTCTATTTTTGCAATTTGGAGATACCCCAATATTGTGGGATTTCATTGCAACAATTTATTGTGAAGTAATATTTCCACTAACTTTGCCAAAAATTGAACAAATTATAAGGTTTATAGTATGGAACATGCAACAGGTGTACAGACAGCTTCAATATATGTCGAACAGCTGAGGACAGCCTATCATGTAATTGTATACATGGTAAATACAGAGTGTATATATTCTATGGGCATTTCTCTGTGGTTCTTCTTAATTTATTATATATGTATGCCTTATCTATGGCTGTATATCATTTGTGTATTTTTTGAGCCTTGGTATTGAGCCTTGGTATTGATAGGGGGGAAGTGTACTGTTATGCGGGGAAGAGTGTGGGAATCACAAATAAGGAATTCATGGATTGTTTCGAGAAAATTTCAGTCTGTACGAGTGAGTTTTGTATCACTATTTTGTGGAAAGAGTTTATGATGTTCGCCAGCTGTTACAAAAATCAGATTCAAATTTCATGCATCATATTCAGTCTTCATTGGGTCTGCAACCAATCAACACTTGTGTTACAGGCTGCTTTCCAGTAAGGCTATCTCCAATTGGTTACAAGATAGGAGGAAACAGGGAATCTACCACCATCACCTTTTGATATGATTTCTGCTACAGATGACTTTTTCCACTAGTCGTAATACTGTCAATATTATTCAAATAGTGTGAACTGTTGATTACCCACAACCAGGAAATTGCCTTATGCATGACCCAGAAAAGGTCAACCATTCTGGCATTTTCTTGGGTTTAAATTCTCTATCCATTGTTGTCATTAAAGTTTGATAAGTGAAGAGTTGACCAAAAGTAGAACATAATATTAGAGATTGCTGTCATATAGCAACAGTAGCTGAAGAAAGTACCACGACATTGATCAATAAATCGGGACCTTCACAAGGATTATAAATTCCATGAAAGACATTTGTTCTGTCAAAATAACCCATCAGCTATCTGTATGCTCAACAAAATATATGTCAACTAATTTACATGTGGAATAGGTGTTAGTTTTCGACTCTCTACATCAATCTGAAAAGTATGGCTATTTTTCGCAGCCACTGAGTAGAGTACTCCAAAATTAATTATGTGGTTTGTTTAGTTCCTAAAATAAAATCATGAAATTAAATTAAAAAATTAATTTGATTCCCCCACACTGGTACTGGCTAAAAATAGAAAAGTTGACCCAACTTAGTATGTCTTTTTAAGAAGAAAAAAACATGCTATTTCAAACTTTGAAGGATTTATTGTAATCCTGGCTGTATTGTCTCTAGTACAGTATTTAACGCATCCTGCTAAAAGCACCCATGGAAGGCCAAAATGAATGGAGGAAATTTTTTTATCAAAATTGGCAACGTGTTAACCTGTTAAACAGTTACAATTCTCACTTGATATAGATTTTATTTGAATGTAAATCCTTTCAAATGTTGTAATTGTGGTTTAAGTCAGAGTACCAAGGCTTCAGATTTTGTGAAACGTGAACTTGTAAATATTTATTCAAAACTTTTACTTATTTTTGTAGTTATAGCAATGGTACTAGTGGTATATATTTTATGTACTGTTGTATTGCTAGATTTTCACTTCTATGAAATTACATGTACTCTGTGCAAATTTGTATCTATAGTCCTATTTCACTAAGGTTTTTTTCTCAGCTCCAAACAAAATGTTTATCTCAGATTTATATTCTGAGACATCTCAAGTGTATTAATGTTGGGCCTCTATTTTGATTTCTGTTTTCTGTCGCTGGGGGCGCTGTCCTCATTCGCTTAGTGCGCATAAATTTCATTGAGAAATAAAGACCGAAGAAATGCCAAAATACATGCAGTTCACTTTTGTAGTTTCTGCAATAGTTCAGTTTTTATTTTTCATTTATTTTCTCACAAAAACCTGCCATTTTTTGACTGAATACATTTATGTTAAAAAAATTCACTAGATATTTGATTTTAAATATAGAGCTTGCTGTATCCCATCCATCACCATTGTCAATGTGTCACTTTTTAATAAAAGAAAAGCTCATAAAATCCACTTGTTTTCTCATTGGTATGATTTGGGGATGCATCCTGGGTTGCCATGACGACATAGGTTGGCAATGGGCAAATATGTGATATACTGTAAACCACTTTAAAGGGAGGTAGTCGTGTCGCATGTTCGATATGAGGCTCATAACGACGTACACAACGCGTGTAAAATACATTGTTTATTTACATGAAATTCGAAGACGCTGCACAACGACTACTGCTGCACTTTAATTTTGTGAAATTGTAGTAGTGAGCATTTTGTTCATGAATGCGATAAAATCGTCAAATCTTGAAAATTAGGTGGTTTAACCAATGCATCTTTCGTCTTGCTTCATTGCGTGAATGACAAAAGATCTTTGAAAAGTATCGTGATGACTACATTACGAAATGAACAAGCTCAGCAGCACATGGAAACTGAATCAATAGATGCATGCTTGATGACAGGCTGTATAAATGCTTTAGAGATTTATACTAATTTAATGGGATTTATAAAGAGCAGTTAAGGTAGTTCCCCCCCCCCCAAAAAAAATACTGGTACTCGGGGTTGGGTGCTGCTCAAAATTCTGAAATAAAAATATATGATCACTTAATTAGGTTTTTCACAAAACAAACTTGAAAATTAATCGAAAAATGCGCATTTTAAATAGTATTGGTTCCTCATAATTCAAAATTTTGTTTTGTAACCTATGCCAGAAGTATAGATGCAAATAGATGTCACGAAAAATTGGAAAACTTTGAATATTAGTATAAGATGTCCTATGAAAAATAGACAAAAATGGAGGCATTTTGGTTTATTTTGCTTATGGTTTCTTGAAAACGCATTTTTTTTTCTCCATAAAAATTTTAAATACCAATGACATGCATGTACCTGTATGTGAATCGTCACGCAACAATTTTTGAAAGATTTTTTTTTTATAGTAGCAAACTACGTTAAACATGTTATGAGTGCATGCCGTGATATAGGCTGTTCTAGTGCATGAAAGAAATCACAGAATGGCAATATGGTACTTTTGTTTGAATTTCACTGAGACTGATTTCAAATAAAAACAGTTTTGTTTATAAAGGTGCATACATGAGTTTATAATTACAGTCCATCTGTGTTAGTGACCACTATCATAGGAAAACTATCTGCTCATAGTGACAGTTCCAATATAATTCACATGTATAGGGAAGAAAAGTTCCAACTCCATATTGAATTTTGCAAAGGATTATGGGATAGAAAATTTAACTGTAGAAGGTGTTTTTTTGGGAGGGGTTCTCGCATATTTTCCATAGAGCCCTATGTTTACCTCTACCTTTTTCAAGCAACTACTGAAAGTTTTGGTTGTAAATAAGTTTTAAAAGACATTTTAAGTGTATGACAGTGTCCA